TGCCTACCGTAGAATGAATAACAAAGTTACTCCAGAGAGTCATTGAAATCTATATAGGCACCTAGAAAACCGTTCTGCTTCAATCTTGAATTTTTATATCCAAAATAACAGCCAAAAAATGTCATTAAAGTCATTCCGATAATCCAGAATTCACATTAAAGGTTCATAAAATATCAATCTGAATGTAAATGCAGTCCAGTTTAAAATTTCATCAGATATTAAAATAATTCAACAAGATATAAATTTTCACAAAAAATTGTAATCAACTTAATACTAAAATCCACCAGATTACAATCTTCCAGAGTTATTTTCATTCAACTCCAATGCCATTTTGTAAAAAAAAATCAGTAAAATTTTTTATGTTGTGTGTACATAGGAACATCATTAACCCATTTAATTAATCGATTAATATAAAAAAAGATTTTTTTATGCGTGTGTTTTATGATAATTATTAAATGATTTATCAGTTATCATCACAGAATAAAAGAGTAAAATAGAGTCGATGAATCATATTTGACATCTGCAACCACTAATATGCTAATAATAAAAATAATGATAGTAATAATAATAATAATTATATTACAAATAAACATAATACTTCAAAATATATTTCCAGTTTTTTTTTGTTCGAAATTTTTGATTTTTATTAATTGTTTTTTTTTCTTTCATTTTTTAAAAGCATATTGTATTTGCTGTCATACATTTAACTCAAATATGTTGTTTTTTTCTGCTTACTATTTTTATATTTTCAATTTTTTTTCAAAAATTGTTTGTTCAATTTTTTTTCCATTCCTTAATGAGTAGCAATGAGTGAAATGAAAATGGCATTAGAAAATGTTCTAGAAAATAATTTTTTTTCTTTCCATATATGTATTCTATATTCTTTCATCTTTTTTTTTTCTTTAATTTTTTTAAATGTATGAGTTTCAAAATACCTCACTGCTACGATCTGTGATCATTTATTATAAAAATTATGGTTTTTTTTATCGAATCATAATTCACTTTTTATGGTTCATTCTTGGTTAATTTGTCTTACAATTTTTAAAAAAATATCCTTTCCTATCTATCTATATTGATAAGATAATAATTTTTTTATATTTTTTATCCTTTTTTCGTATTTTTTTCAATTAATTATCATTATTAACTTATTCATCAGCTTTTTTTCATGTCACATTCACAAAAGTTTTTTTTTCTCTAATGTTGATCGATGGGAATTATAGGGAAGTTCTTGCTTTTATGATACTTTGGAGAGCTTTAGAAACTAGACTGTTGGCTTGTCTAGACCTAATTTGTTGTTATGTAATTGATCATATGATTTAGATATGAAGTGTCGGGTCCTTATTGGCAAAATAAGAATTTTTGAAAACTTTTCAACCACGAACAATAGATCGAATATATAGAAAAGCATATGTAAGGTACGCAATCTTACTTTCCTGGTGACCAAAATTGTCCATATATATTACATTGACCTTCCAAGGAAGAACGATGAAATAAATATGGTAAACATTTTCAGACCAACTCTTTAATGTAACAAGCAAAAGTTTAATTTTGAAGTGTTAAGGACTTGAGTTGCTGGTTAACAGGAGTTCTTTAAATAAGTAGCAGCCAGTAGTTGTGCCTGTTACAACTAAGTCATTTTCTAGTAAAACCAAAATTCAATGCAATAAATTGCAAAGAACCACATTTAACATTTGACTAGTTATACGTCGTAGACTAAAGAAGATTCACATAATTATAAATTCTTCCATTTCCCGTCAATTTGACTGTAAAATCAAATATCCAATCAATCATAAAATTCAGACAGTAATGCTCATTTAGGATTTCTATTTTCCTCATTAAGCATAATTATCATAATGATTGTAAAATAGAATTATAAAATTGTAGATTATTAAACTCTCCTCATATCAGGTATTAAAAAGCTTCTTACCCGAATCGCACAAGTCGGATAATCGATCAGAAATCTGGCATCTAGTGGGTGTGACTCTAACATGGTGCTGGATTTAAATCGAAGCCAGCACCATGCTTGAATCATGCCGGATTTCTATTCATTTTCTATTCGATTAGTCGACTTGTGCTATTCGAATTATAAGTTCATTCTACAAGACTTCCTTGTCTAATCATCTACGATCAACATTTTGTATTCCTGTACAATTTTCTCTAAATGTATATAAATTAATATTTTCTTTTCTTTTGTTCTCTATTAAAAAAACTGTGTATGCTTCTGAGTTTCATTTTCATTTCCTAAAATATTATTTTTTTTTCATTTATCATCGATAAATTGTGTTGTGTATATGGAAAAACTAGATAACTAATATTCAGCAAAGAATTAAAATAAATAATCAACTAGGTTAATATTGCACGTAAGATTTCCCTAATAAACTAATCATTATCATTTCATCATATTTTTATCATATTCATTGCATTTATTGACTTCTCTAAACAGCAGATCACAAACAATTTTTTTTATCATCCTTAAATTTACTTTAATAAATTTTTTTTTCATATATTTTTTTTCGTTCATTACTTTTTTTTAAAAAAAATTATGTGTAGGTATGTGTATGAAGAATTAATTAGCTACACATAAATTACTTGTTTTTATTTTCGCATATTAGCACCATATTATTTATTTTTTTCACTTATTTGACATTCGAGTGAGGGTAGAGATGAGGATTATGGGACATTTTCTGGTTTTATTGAATTTTTTGCAGACTTTTATCAAAAGTTTTGGAACCTAAATTGAGGTTTTAAAGAAGATATGGCATGGTTTGGTATAAAATTCGTGTTTTGTTAGACTTTTGGATATTCCAAAATAGTTTAAATGCCAAATTTATGAAAAAGCTCAAAATTTTTTGATTTTTGCATCTAAAATTCTTTAAAAATCTGAAAAATCTAGAACTCTTCTCATCCCCAAATCCCCTCCCTACCCTAGCCCAAAATTTAAATAACGTTTAAAAAATTATTTTACATTAAAGAAAAAAGACGAAAAAAAAGGTTTTGAAAAATCACTAAAAGTTTCATAATGCTTGTGCATTTATTTATGCTTAAAAATCCATTATCACATTCCTATCTCGACCAACATAAACAAATTCGTTCCATTTCATGTGTTTTATGTATAAAATCAAAAGGCTTTCATTTTTTAATATCAATAAATCAATTTAATTTAACTTTCTTTTCGTAAAACAAAACACTTTTGAAAGTGGTGAAAATAATAGTTAAAAATATCAACAAAAAGGGACTTTAACATAAATATATGAATCTTTTTGTATTTTCTAAATTATCAATTGCTGCAATTTTAGATCTGCTTTTTGAATTGTTTGAAAAATTTAACTAAATGTTTTAGGTTGTGACTTTTGAGAGATGGAATTTCAGACTTTAAATTTTGATGTTTAATTTTTCAAATTCAAATGTTTTTTAAAAATTAACTAGGATTTTTGAAAATGTTTTAAAATTTGAATTTTGAAATTTTAATCTTTGAAGTTTAAAAAATCTTAAATTTTGAAATTTTAATCTTTGAAATAAAAAAAATTTTAAATTTTGAAATTTTTGACTTTTGAATCTCAAAACTTATTTTCTTATTGATCTGCATAAGATCAATAAGATTCATTCCAATAGATCCTATTAAAACCCACCAAACTCTCTCAATTCACTCCCAATAAAATTCAGCACAAATTTTTCAATTAAAATTAATTCATCTTTATACATTTTACTGTCATTTTTTTCTTCCTTTTCTTTTCATTTAAATCATCGTTAATATTAATTTAAAAAAAATTATATAAAAAACAATTAACATAATTACACAAGTTTCTGAGGTAGTACGTAAGAAATATTGCAAAAGCCCGTCTCTTTAAATAAAAAATTACTTTGAAAGTCGACCGAGTGGGATTTTTGGGAATTTCAATTAATTCTGAACATTTAATTTTTTGAAATTTAAAAATGTTGAATTTTTCAAAGTTCTTTGAAACCTTCATTTCTCAGGTCTTATTGTCAAAAATTTATCAAAAACTTCCCAAACCTACTCCCTTCCAACCCACCCGATCAAATAGTTTCAAACGAAGCAAATCAAAGTCAGGTAAAATTATGGAGGTAACAAAGAATTTCACATCGTTTTTTTATAAAGAAAAAAATAATAAAAAATATTTTTTTGACTTCAAGTTTCATTTCTATTGCACATAAAATCATTAATTATGTTAAGGAAAAAAAATATTTTAAAATTATTACAAAAAAAACATGTTTCGTGACAGTAAAACGTGCTACATGTTGTATCTCATTCATCCTATTATGTTTTCATCTTGTGTATAATTGTAATAAATATCTCTAATGTTTCTAATATGCCCGTCTACAAATATTGCAATTATGTTTTTTTTTTTCTCTTATCATTCACGTTTATGTTTCTATTAGGTTTATGTAATCTCTGCTATTTTTTTTCTTAGTATCAGATATTTGTTGTAGAGTTCTCTTATGTTTACTATTATCTTGCAGTTTATAAATATTTTGATTCGAATTCCTCATCTGTTACACTTTCTTAACTTTTTTGAAGCTTTTTTTGTGCTTCTATTTCCGTTTTATCTTGAACATAACATTTTGTTAATTGAAAGAACTTTTATGGTGTAGTTTTTTATAAGAATTAACATAAAAATAGTAATCAAAATTTTGGATGAATATTTGACTTGATATATGGTTGAAAAGGTTGAATTTTGGAAGCTAAACCGTGTTTGGTACCAAAACTATAGTTTAAAAGATAGTTGTTGAAGTCAGCTAGTAGAATTTAAGATTCTAAAGATAATCTTTGATTGGATCATTGAATGCCGCAGCACAAAGAACAAACGTTGTATTATATAGTTGGATATTAAAGTTACTTGAATGCAGGACTAGAATTAGAAATAGATGAGTTTGAAACTTCAATGCATATCTCTGGATTTTCAACTATCGAAATAATTATTGACTATATTGCATTTGATTCAGTCAAAATAGTAGAACATTTAAGCTTAAGCTTTACTTTCAATTCAACCAAATCAAATCAATAAGAATTATAACCAAAATATTCACGAAATTCATCAATTTACCCCATAATATCAAGCTTCAGCGAACGAATGATTAAAATGCTTTAACAATCTTAATCAATCATTCATCACATTCAAGTTTTAAACTAAAACTTCTCAGAAATATCATCAATTTGACTGCAAAATTGTTTCTTATTAGTCGTTCAACAGTTATCATTAATCTTATGTAAATTAGTAATTTGTAACTATTGGAGATTGGAAAATTGTTTTCTTACGTAACAAAATAAAAATATGAACGGAAATTGATTGGAAAAATCATAAATTAAAAAAAATGTTTTGTAGGTTCTTCGTGTATACGATTAAATAAAATTCTCTTTTCAGTTAAATAAATGTATAAAAAAATATAATTTGAAAAGAAAAAATGAATTAAAAAAGACAAATAGCCACTTAATGGTGTTTGGCAGTGATATTGGCATGAGATAACCTCAAAAAGTTCATGAAGTTCTGGTAGAAATTCATAAAGAATTTACTAAGTATGAATCATGACTTAATATCAGGACCAAAACATCCACTTAATGTAAATTCACTAAATCTAAATAAATGCTGGTGAATTAACTTATTAACAGCTTCAATTATCATCAACACCATCGTCATCATCATTATCATCATCATCAACATCCCACGAGATTCCAATGAAATTCTCATTAATTTTTAACTTATTTTACAGTTCTGTTTGTGCTTGTTTACATTTCCATAAATCAATCCCAGTCGACAATAACTAAGGTTCGATTTCATATTCAAATCTCAACCGGTACATGAAGTTCGAAAGAAATCAAACATTAGATCCGCCAAGGGTGGACATCCGCCATTCATTTGTTCATCCATATAGAAATGTGACGGATGCATCGCCTCGTTGGATGAATTATTGTCTGGGAAATGATTCCAATGTGTTCTGTTATATCATTCAGGCATTATATTTTGAGATTGTGCGACCGAATTAAGTGATGCGGCAGCATTGAGAGAATTAGCAGCTGCAATTGCCGCTATCGCTGCCGTTTGTGATGCAATTGATGAGTTCATTAAATTTTCAAATTTTCTTGTATCTGGATTGAACATTGGATGTTTGAATTTACAATGTGTCCGTAAATTATCACTTCTCGTGTATGTAGCTCTACATAATGGGCATTCAAACCGTCCAGGAAAGTGTACATGATAATGATTACGAATATGCGTCACAACTTTTCCACAAAGCTTACAGCGATGAAGATTGCATCCTCCCGATAATCGTTCAAATGTTAAACGCATATGCCAGGCCTTCGAGCCTGAAACATTAAATTTAAACCCGACTTTTTATCAACCAATTAAATTGAGAATTATTTTTTTTTTAAATTTTTGAAAAAAGAGATTTTTTGCGTAATTTTTTTGAGAGTTAAAATCATAAAAAGAATTTTTTTAGAGACAGTTGTTGTTGTTACACTCATAAAACATAGCAATTCAAATATTTTATGTGTGTCGTTAAGTAAATTAGCCAATTAACATCAACAAGAAATAGTAAATTAAGTAAAATAATAATAAACAGACAGCTGAAGGGGCATGGGGTGGTTGGTCTTGAACTTTGAAATTTTTGGTGAATGTCACGAATTTCTATAATTTGGGAAAATTACGCTAATTGTTTTGGAATCTATTTATTTCATTTCTTATTTTAAATTGATTTAGCCAAAATAGACCTCCAAATGAAGGATACCATTAGTAATTTGGTTGGACCTATGGCCAGAAATTCAGAGAAAATCAGACTAGTAAAGCGATTGACCTGGCAAACAATAACTCAAAACCTATTTCAAAATCTGATGTCAAATGAAAAATTCAAAATTCCTAAAGTTGATCCTAGTTTGAACCCCTTTGTGACTCCCAACTTAGTCCAAAATTCAAAGACTTACCACCCCAACATTCAATAAAATTTGCTGTGTTTTTAGAAAAAATTGCAATTTTGTTAAAATTAAAAATTAATCAACAACTTGCGCGTCATTATGTGACATAATCTCATAAATATGCACAGAATAATTATAAGAAAATTTGATTTTTGTCAACATAAAAGATTAATATTTGCGAATATATAAAAAAAAGTTAAGAAAATACTTCACCAACCAACACCAAAAAAATTATTGTTATTATTTTAATTATTATTATTAATTATTGTTGTTGTTCAATTTTTTGTGTAATTTCAATGTGTAACTTATTTGTCTGTTCAATCAACAATTCGGTCTTAAAAATTTAATTGCTTGTCAAAAACAATTTTTTCATTAACAATTTTTCATGTCTTTGACTAGACTTTCTTTTATTTCTTTTTCTTTCTGAGTCAAACTTAAAAAATTTTAGTTCTTAATTTGTACAAAAAAGAGTAAATTACATTTAATATTTCAATGTTTTTTAAAAATAAATTAAGTTTTGTGAAACAAGAAACAAACGTAAATGAATTTAATTAATAAGTAAAAAACTTTCCATTTTCCTCGAATTTTTCTCAACAAAAAAATTTTCTTTTTAATTTTATAATTTTAATTTAAATGAGTTTTAAATTAATTGAGATAATTTTGAGCATTTATTTCCTGAACTGGGTAACAATTTAAATATTCGACGGTTCATGTAAAATCTGAGATTTTAGGGGGTTTTGTAGCAAGACTACTGATTTGATCACTTGAGAATTTTCGAATCAACTTTAAGTCAAACTTAAAAAATCGTATAGAAACAGAAAATCCAACACAAACCCCCACCAAATTCTCAAAATAATTCCCTACTCAGACAAGTTTTTGATTTTCTTAAATTTTTTTAAGCTATCATCACTAAATCTTCATCCTTTCCCTTTTTAACAATTAACTCTATGGGTCTTCACTAAATTAAATCTAATTTCATTGCTATTTTGTTCGATAATTTAAATTAATTATTAAAGTAACAACTACTTATAAAAATTAACGGAATTTTTTTCATCTAAAAAATGTTTTTAAATTTATTCCTCTTTTGGAAGAATGGGATCTATTGTTTATTTATTTTATTTTTCTTTACAATTCTTTAACTTTTCACTAAAAAAATGTTTATTTTCATATTGGGATTTACTTCCTAACTGCTCATGGAAGTAAAGTAAACAACTATTAAGTAATTATTACTAAAATGACAAAAGCTTCTTACAGGAAATCAAAGATTTTACTTTGAAATTAAATGAAATTTGTTTTATTTTTGTTTTTGCAACAGTCAACATTTTTTGAGCATAAAACGAATTGAATATTCAATTAAAGCTACTACACTTAATTTACAGATATTTACTAAGGTAATGCAACGTGGTAAAGAAAACAATGAATCAAATTGAAACGAATAACATTGATAAGAAATTATCACATTAAGGGTAACAACAAAATGGAAGATTTCCCGAAATAATAAAAGATTTGATATTCTTAATCTTACTTGATTAGATCAAGAAAATCAGAAATTAGTTTTAAGCATTATTAACTCAAAGTTTTAGTCACAATGAAACACTTTATGTGCAGTTTGTAAGTTTCACATTGCAATGCATTGGTTTAGAAATTCTCAAATTGAAGAAATGAATTCTCGAATCATTTTTGATAGTTTTGAGGAGCAGTTGAGGATTTAAAACAATTATGATATTTTATAGATATTGTTTTTTCAGATCCAAGTTCATTTCAACTCATAAACATTAGAAAAATCATTGATATCAAACTATATTGCCAAGTTTATTAACTCAAACCAATTTACACAATCTCCTCGAACAAAGTTTAAAACTTACTTCACTGAATTGATAACTGTCCAAGTAAAGGAAAAGTAAACAAAAGAAAACTTTCTCGAAATCAAAAAAGTTCCAGTCTAAATGTTTAACTTACAACTGCTCGAGTTGTGTTGACTTATTTTTACAACTCTAATATCTCCCTATCTTATCTCGGCCATATTTCAACAAGGAAAAACTTTCCATCTATAAATTTTAATTTTAAACCATTGCATTTCAACTGCTACATTTACAGATGAAATAATAAGACAAAAAATAATGAAAAACAATAAGTTAACAAAAAAAGAAAGAACTTTTAAAGACAGAAAGAAGTGTTTGAATAAATTACAAAGTTAATCCTTCCATGAGAAAACTTTTGAGTAAGAGACTCAACAACAACAACAACATCAAGAGACATTCTTATGTGTATTTGTGCAATGAAAAGTAATGTACATAGAAATAAACATCATTAAGTTTTTGGCATGGAAAGTAAATCAATTAGGAAGAGAAAAAAATTATTTAAAACTACTTCATAATTTAATTTGTTGCTCGTTGCTGACTTAATTAGATTTGACAAATTTAATTTAACTAAGTTTTAATTTCTATAAAGCTTGAATGACTAGAAGATGAATATTTGACTAGAATTGGAATATTGTTGACCATTGCAATGGATGGGTGGATTTAAAATTATTTAATTAAGTTACTTTCTTTAATCAATACTAAATTGCTGCTTCGACTTATTCCTTTAAAAATGTACGTAAAGAGGAAAATGATTTCTAATTAAAAATTTATTCTACTTGTCTGAGGTATAAAAGAGATTAAAGTGGCAGTTAAACTAATTGCTTCGATAGAGAAATGCCTGGATATACTTGTAAAGTGTGATATTAACATGATACTTAGATTCAGGCATGATTGTTATAGTCAAATATAATCAAGACATAGCCAGGATGTGATTCTATTACCCTTGAACTTTAATAATTGGGGCATAGCTCTTTACTCATTTAAATTGAAGTGATTTTAAGACTTTAGACATATTTGATCATAGTAATAGCTTTCTTTTAATTGGGTACAGGCTGACCATTGATTTTGCTGATATGGAACGCTAGTCTAGGAGAAAATTTGACATTCGGATTATTAAAAAGCAATTTCGTTGATGCCAAATCTTACAGAACAAACAAATCTGAAGAATCTCATCAATAATCTGACATTCTTTTCATTTAAATATTAACAATAGCTTAACTTATCCCTTTAATCTCTCCTATCCCAGACTTTAATATGACACATTTACTGCTATAAAAACAGGAACGAAAATTTTCTTCATTTTTTTCTTTGGTTTCATGTTTCACTTTAAATTCTGTATACGTGTATGTTTCTCCTTAGTTTCATTTTCATATTTTTTTCTAGTTTTCCTTGGGTTGAAAATTAAATTAAAATCTTTGGTCTACTGTTACTGTAAAAGTTTCTTCTTCTTCTCTTTTCATTTCATATATCATAAGTTAATAATATAAATATATATGATAATAATCATAATATATATAATAATATATATTGTCTACGTCCTTGTTTATTAAATTTTATCAAAATTTCTTCTCTCTTTTCGTATGGATGTGCATGTATCAAATGAACTCTGTTGCATCAGCCTAGGAAATTTCATTTTCCTGTGAACATTTTTTTTTTCATATATTACTTGTATAGAGAGAAGAAATATCCTGCTTATTAAAGTTTCTTCGTCCTTTATGGATTTACATGCTATTATTTCTGGTTTTGACTGCTTGTTGAGATAGAGAAAGGATTTATTGGTCTAATAGCTAGTAAATAGGTTGTTACAGATTATGTTAATCTAGTGTATGGATATTTGAATCCAAAATTAATTGTTAAATTCTTTAGAAGGTTTATATCCATCAACTTACAATCAAATGCTTAGACTAGTCTTTTAAAATCCACGAAAGATTCCTACATCTCGACCTAACCTTGCTATTGACCTTGACCTTAAGAACTTTTTATTTAAATTCGAAGACGCTCTTTCATTACTATAAGACTACAAGTTTCCAGTTTATCTTAAGACTGTATGCAATCTGTAATTGTTAATTCTCCCGAAAAGACCCTAGCAGACCTTAATAATACTCCCAAGTGAACACTTGCATGAATTCACTAATCTACTAAACCAATAGATCCGATTCATATCTTAGTATCAAATGACTAAAATCATATCCATACAGAGAGCTACTGAAGATTGCATTTCATTGTTCAGTTCTTTAGACAATCTTATATATTTAAGAATGAAAATTCTTGCTAGCTTAGTCAAATTAATAAGACTTCTCTGCATGAATATAATTTTCATCCATTTAAATATTGAAGTTCTGTTAAAAATCAAGGCTTTCCCTTGAAATACTTAAGTCATGAACTTTGCAGTCAAGTAAAATCGTCTCATTAAGTTTCTTGTGTTTTATGTGTTGTTAATTATATTATTTGTCACTAATAGGTAGTAGTAAGTACTAAGTAATAATAATATGTATATATAATGATAATAATTATAACAATTTTCTATATATATTTATGTATACTTCTTTTTCTCAATAAATATACGTTGATCACATATGTACAAGTTGACGAAAAATATCGTTTCAAAAAGCGTGTTTAACTTTACGATGTGCTTTCATGTTATCACGTCGCGTAAAGATTTGATGACAATCAGGACATTCATGCTTTTGTGGACGATGTATATTTGCATGGTGCCATCGATTAGACACCGTTTTATGACAACTCACGCATCGATATAATGTTGGAAATGTTCCGGAAAGTTGAACAAATAATGCTGAATAGTCAATGTTATGATCACGACGTGTTGATGCCGACCCTGTACTACCCCGAGTTGTTTGTCCATTTGTTAAAAAATTCTGTATTATGCCACTGTGATTTCCGTACGGACCTCCCAAAAAATTACTGCCTGCATTAACGTGGTGACCGCGTGACGCCATCGGATGATAACTCATGCTACTTCGATCACCTGCAACAACACAGGCACATATGGCGTCACGAATCGACTCACCACACAAATTTTCTCAATTTTTTAAAGAATTTAAATTTTTTTAAATTGGGAAATAAATTAAAAATGTTTTTTAAACTTTTTTTTTAATAATAATGAAATTAAAATAATTTGACGAGTTAATTTCTGCTTTCAAAAACTTTTTTGTTTAAAGAAAATTTTGGCAATTTGGATAAAAAAAAACTAAAACAAACTTGGCTTTGGTCAAATTCCATATCATGAATTTAAGGATCATCTATCATATAAAAAAACACAAAAAAATATAAATCTATCGCATTTATCTAAAAGGTAAATATGTATTAAGGCAATGTTGACTTTCAGAAGGAATTTTGTCTGGAATGTTTAATTTTTTTTTTTTATTATTTTTGGGGATGCACTAACATTTATTAACAAAAGTATTTTTCTACCTAATCAAAAAATATATAGATTAATATGCTCTAAGTTCATTATATAAACAGAAAAATGAAGGGTTTATATTTTATTTTAGATTTTATTCATTTCCGAATTTTAGGTTTCTCATCTCATTCTTCTCAAGCTGTCGATTCATTAAAAGTTGTACTTTGTGTGTTGTCAATTGATACCTAAGGTAGTAGATTGACACTAAAGCTAGCTATTATTTTAATTTATTTAATTTTGTAGTTTAACATTCACATAAATTACTGAAATAATGTTTTTGAATTATCAAATGATCTCTTTTGATCGTTTGCTTAGTTGGATTCATTCAAAACATTCAAAATACATTGTTCTCGTGTGTGTAGATCTGTTTGAACAATTTGGATGCCTGTGCGTACGGCTCATTCCAACCCTACGTTTTTCGAATGATGTTTGTGGAGATTCAGAAGCTTTAACGTAGTTATTCAGGAAGCTAAGCTGGGAGCTTCAAAGGCAATAATTTTATAGGACTTACCGTCTGGTTCCGACGTTGTTTTATACTTTTACACTACATTAGCTAGCCAATTTGCCATGTTGATGTTGACATTAAGCAAAATCAAATATATGTCGCAAAAAAATGCCCTTGTCCGACTTAAGAACGCCTCTATAACAAATGTTAAGCTTTCAGTAAGAGTTTTGAGAACTTCAACAAAAATCCTTTCCAGAGAAGGCCGATTCACAAAGACTTGACTCAAAACTAGTCACAAATCACAAATTTCTATTACAAGGTCAAGTTTTAGTGTGCAAACTTGACCAGCAAGTTAATAAACCTTCGAAATTAAGTATGCAATACACCAAAGACAGTGAGTCCATACTTAATATGCACACAAACAATGTTTCTTATCTTAATTCTCCCATCAAATGGAAAGAAAAAAAAAATCATTAAAAAATTGTTGTGTGCAGAAATTATACGACTAGTTTAACTTTCCTTGCATACATCATAATATGCAATAATTATTAGACGACCAACTAACCGTAAAGAAAGATTTTTATCGTTGTAATGTTTACATTCAATTCACGATCATAAAAGTTTGTATTTCAGTAATTTATGTACGACAATAATTTCGAGTTATAACTTTTAATGAATTTCAATGAGAAAAATGAGGGCTTAAAGGCATAACTTATTATATATTTTTGTGGACTATATATGTGGCGGCTCATATTGATATGTATGTATATATAGGTATATATATTATGAAAATCATAAGGAAAATGAAAAAAGTTCATCTAGAAATTCATTAAAATGCGACATCTACTCATTTATCTCATCTAGTGATTATTATATATTGATTATGTTCTGATTATAGCTAATAAAACTAAAAGGTAAAAAATGTAACGTACAGTTTCCACCCGAATATGCCAATTGGGAAATTTAAAATAATTAATATAAAAAATCAACTCAAAAGGACAAATTAAAATATTAAGGCAAATTCTCTATTAGAATTTCAGGGGAGAGAATTTTGTTGCTTCAATAACTTTTTGATTCAAAATTCAAATTCAAAAAATTTTCACCCCTGCAAAAATCATAAAAAAATTTGAATTTTTGAATTTCATTTAAAATTTCATTCAAAAAATTTTCATTTGTGAATAATCGAATTAGAAAAAAAAAGACATCCAATTGATCTCAATCACACATCGAATTGGATTATATTTTTGGTATTTTAGTGACAAAGTGCCTGGTTGTTGGAGGATCACATTCGACAAACTATCTCTCACTATATGATACTATTCATACTGGACATTTCACGTCATAACTTAATTTTTTTGACATCATCCACATTAAGCATCAATTCTTATCGTTTCGATCAAAAATAAATTTTTTTTATTCTACTGGTTTTTGTTCTCACGTTTAAAATTACATGTTATAAGTAAATGAATTAATGATTTTTCTCTATTATAATTTTTTATCATATTTTCTTTTTGGTTTCTTTTTTACTAAAAAAAATTTTCATGTCTGAACATTGAAAAATATTTACAGGTTTTTATGCAAAAAAAATATAAAAGTACGGAACAAAAATAATCAAAAAAAATTATAAAAACTATAAAGAAATTAATTAAATATCAAGATTTATTTTTTTAGTTGTTACGGTCTTGTAACCAAAGGTGTAATTTAAAAATGTACATGCGTGCAGAACGGAAGTGAAATTTATGCAGTTGTGGATTATCTCGAGTTTGGTAGTTAATCTTGATTTTTTTGTAATTGGTTCATCGAACTAGGTTTAATAGCTACAATCTATACAATTTATTCGTTCCTTAAACTCAAGTTTCAATTAGGTTTTTAAATTTTATAATTATTTCTACAATCAAACAGAGATTAACATCCACTGACTGCACAAATTTTACCTCTGAAAATGGATTTGTAGGATTTTTATTAAATAAGCAATAAATGCATGCAAAGTTTTAATTATTGGAGAGTTTGGTAAATAAAAAAAAGGAGTGGAGAAGCGTTAAGATGGAAATCAGATGCGGAGAGTTCTTTTTTGTTTTACATTTTAAAGTTTTTGGGAGTTTTAAAAACTTATCATTCCATAATTTTTTATAAAATTGATTTTATTTTTGAATTTATCCTGAATCGTAAGTATTTAATAATAAGCTTGAATGGGCAGTACGCTGGGCTATGAATCCCTCAAAGTTAAAAATTCTTCGATTTAATAGTTTCTTTTAAGGAAATTAAATTCCAAAATCACTCAAAATTTAAATTGGCTTAACTACCTGATCTAACAATCTTACGCTAGATAAAGTTGTAATAAGGTTCATTAATCAATGAGAATCTTATAACAGATAATAGAAATACTCAAGAAGATGTTGAGAGTATCAAAATTTGAATCCTAATGTTAAAACTCTCTAATTTGATTGAAATTTTTCAAGGAAATTGGCAAAGTCTCTTCAAAACTCATTTCATCCAATGAGGAAAATTCCTGACTAAAGAAAAACATAAAGACAAGTCCCTACAGAAGAGTCCCTGACAAAAATCTTGTCAAAATTCAAATACTCAACTCTAGTCCATATCTCTACAATTAACTCACAAATCAATCCAAATATTTACAGTCCACAATGCGACATTGAAAACCGCTAGATGTGCAAATTAACCGCACCCACAAATATTTTTCCATATTGATAATAAACAATAAAATTTACGTTTCTGCTAATCAACCGATCTGAAGGCTCAAATCACAACCGAAAATTAACCCACAGCATCTAATTTCCATCTTAATTAATAGTAAAAAGTATTAAAAAGTAGTAGCATAAGCAATCTAAAGATTTGCGTCAACACATTTTAACTATTGTGAAATTTTTTGTGGTTTGACTTTCAATTAGCGCAATAATTTTCATAATCAACGAAAAAAATGAAAATTAAATTTTGGAATCTTTATATAAAAAAATTAATTTAAAAATGAAATTTTTTTGGATTTTTTTAAATTTCTATTTTCAAATCTGTGATAATTATTTCATTTCTATATTTTTTAAAAGTAATCCTATCCTCAAAAATAAATCGATCTAACATAAATGCAAACGAAATTTGAAAATTGACATTTCAATTACGCTTGATTACGTTAGATCTATGACATGATTTTGAAAATTTGCGTGGCGTGGCATTTTTTTATTAAAAAAATTTGAAAATTAATTGAATTGCTTATATTTTTTTGTCAAATTTTATGGTTTTTCAAAAAAATATTTAATTATAAAAATTATGTATAAGAATATGAGTAAGTAAAATATAGTATTATATTATCTATTATTCATCAATTGATTTAAATGGTTTTTGGTCTTTTCAAAAAAATCAGAGTGGACTTGCTACTCGCATTTTTTGAAAAAAATTTTAATATCTTATCATCTTATGTATTTTTTTGTCTATTTCAGGTATTGATTCTTTTACGATGTAAATATATTATATAAAAAAAGTAATAAAAGTTAAAAAGAATAAATGAGAAATAATATAGTGGTAATTAAAAAACTACAAAAATTAGTTATTGAAAGCAAAATTTACATTTTTTTGTACAAATTTCCATGAGATCAAACATTGAAATTTGATAATTCTTTTGACATTCTTATTTATTGTTTGATGGTCGTGTCCCTAGCAGCGAATGGCGAATTTATATTTATTGGGCGTTTCAAAAGGTTAATTTTAAACTTTATCCAGGGCTGTATCCATTTATTAAAAGATATTGAATACTTATATTGAGATGAAACTAGCATTTTTGAGAATAGCTAGAGATATATGAAAAGAAAAATTCATTTTTAAGGACAGGGAATGACGGGTTGTTTTTCGAGCATTTTATTAACTAAGGTAAGTCTTTAAGAAGGCTTTCTCGATTACAGAAAGATTTAATTGAAAATTAAGTCGTGAGAAACTAAGCATTACACTCTTAGTGTCCCCTTCAACCTTCAATGTTCTACACAGGAACCAAAATAAAGTCTTGATAAGTCTTTTTGAAAATGCATAATATGCTTAATGTGTTGAGTTCGTAAACATCCATATACCACTAGTTCTGAGTAAATCAAAAATTTCTTCAGGGGCTAAATCTCAAGCAATATTAATATTGAAATTGGAAGAACTGCCAATAAGATCAGATGAAAGGATTTACCAGAAATATGCAAAATCGTCTCAATTAATAGAAGCTTTAAGGAATTTTAGGTCAATGCTACTAGGGTCGACTCTCTTCATCTCCACATCCACAAAAGAAATTATTCAAATTTAAATGTTTTTCACTGTTCCTAATCGAATTAATTATTCATTATCTTTGTCATTATTATTCATATTCATTTTTTTAGAGAAAATTAAATTAACGAAATATGTATATATTAACTCAAATATAGGGTAGAGATGTATATAAATTAAAAAAATCATAGAGAGTTATAGTCTTTCATCAATTATTTTTTTTTATATCAATCAATTCAAAGAGAAATTTTTGTGGAAATAATTTGAACTCACCATCGATTTCGTTTCCGGGCTCTATGTGGGGAATAGGATGCTCATTCTCAGGCTCACTGTTGGCATGAAGTCCTACACTATTTAAGATGTCGACTTGACCTTGGTGAAATGGCGGTTGTGGAATTCCTGACCCAGGCTAAAAGTAAAATAATTTTTTAAATTTTTCAACATTTTTTTCGTGAATTTTTTGAGGAAATTTTCATGAAAATAAAATAAAATTTTTCTGACTTTTCTTTTAGAAATAACGAATTATTAATATTTAAAATATTCGATTTATTCTCTACTGCTAATTTGTCATAATAAGTATGATTTTTATAATAATAAAAAATTAAAAATATTTCATAAAATCATGCATGTCCATTACTGTTGTATGTGCCTGTATCTATCTATTTGTGTTCGCATATTAATTATTATTGTAATAGGAAAAATATTTTACTGTCTAAAACTCTATTATCATCTAAAAACGTCTATTATTAATATATTAAAAATCTATCAATGTATATATTTATTCTTGGTTGGAAAGTTGATTCATTTGGGGTTATTTGGGTATTTAAAAGTTTACCAAATTCTTCAGTGAGGGGGTGAAGGGTTAGTATATTCCAAAAAAAACATGTTTTTTGGATCATTGAGCTAAGGCAGGTGGGATCGATTGAGCTCTTCAAACCAAATATTTCTGAACCTTCTCTACCCAAGGAGTCTGTTAACTACATCCTGTTCCTGCCTTAGATAATCTATCTCGCAAAACCAGGTAGTTCTGAGCTTTTAATCACACATCAACCTCAAAATCCCATTATTCCAACCCCTAAACCTAACCCTAATTCTATCATCCGCTATCATCATTTAAAGTTCAAAAAAATTAATCAATATTCATAACAATAACTGGATACAACAAGAGATCCTGTACATCAAAATTCAATCAATTTTCGTTCTCAATAAATATTCTACATCTGTTGCAGTGATTTAAGTTCACGCTCATGGCACATCTTGTGTGCTTTACATTTATCATGATGATTTACAATCTCTAAACGAAAATTTGAATTGCCTTCAACGAAGGATGTACGTATGTCAGGTATATCGTAGCTCCATTTACGACAATAAATGCAGTACATTGTATTATTGATTTCATCATATTTCAACCATTTAAATTGTTCCAACCAATTCGGTCGAAAGCGTCCAGTTTTACGTGATGTTGATGTATTAGATGGCGTCGACATGCTTGATGTCGATGCAAAATTTTGTACTTTACTACTCGTCCCGTAAAAGAGTTTTGTTGTCTCATGAAGAAATTTTGTGAATTTCTTTTCCGTCTCGTCAGATAAATTTGTTGTCATCGATATCATTGGTGTCATTTCAATTTGTTGATCGTATAGATTTGCTGATTGCTTTACATTTTGTGGCACTTTGGAATTATCTTTATCACTTGTCACAACCACTCGACTAATCTATTTTATCATTAGATATTTAGTGTGATATTGTGTGTTTGTGTGTGTATGTGTGAGGCATGTGCGGCAACATGAGAAGGAAAAAGAGAAGGATTTAGAACGAAAATTTTTTTGATTTGGAAAAATTTTCTAACTACAAACTAGTTTTTTTTTTAAATATTTTTTGATTATTTGTTTAGATTTTTTCTTTTAATTCCGTTTCTTGAAAATCCTTCAAATTTTCATTTCAAGTTTAAATTTTATTTTGTAACCTCAACATTAGCCTCGAGACGTTAATTATCGCATATTAATTTCACACAATGTATCAAGTGATTTAATTTGAGTCGAAGCGATTTTGCAGATGGTCTTTTTTTGATATACAGTTTATAAATACTAGAAAATATAATGCCTTTCTCATGTTCGGATGATTATTAATATTAATGATAGTAAAAATGTCAACAACTTTTAACCAAAAATGCATAAAAATTTGATTTTCTTCGTTTTGAGTGTTTTGATGAGCAGATTCAGTGATTGATAGAGAGAGGCTATTCTGATTTTAATTTTAAGTTTTTGATAGGTTCCCATCTATAAATATCTCAAGATCCATTTTATTTACGAGATAAGTTGCACTAGGTTGCAGGGGTCTATGGTGCCTCGAATAAAAATCATATTTTTGAAATTGGTTGAATCTTTTATGAAAGATCTCTTACTTTTTACTTTCCCACTTGCAGACTCGTTCATACCTATTAAGACCCATTAAGACTAGCCTAAATCAATGTCATCAAATGCCAAATATTTGAAATTCAGATATCATTTTTTCTTTAGTTCCTTCAGGTAAGTGATATTGTGCTAGCAAGGTTTCATATCAGCTAGGATAGCTAGGTTTAGTCTAGAAAATGACTCAAAATCAGATTTCATTTACAATATGTCCAAAATTGTCCCTTTAAACGCCTTACACCAACTAGTGTGTCCTCCTTAGTCCTCAATAAAATTTAATTCAATTTTAAACGCGCCGGATTTTTAATCTAAAATGAGTTTGTGTTACAACCTTACTCAAATTCAAATGAGCATATTATCTACTATCACCGACAAACCATCAATTTGTAGCCCAACTTATAAATTTTTATCAAATGCAAATTATTCACTGCTTAATAAACAAAAAATGTGAAACTTTCTGAATCTCTGATAAGAAGTTGTTAAGCTCCTAAATAAATATATTTTTATGCACATGCTGATTGATGAAATATTTTTCTTATTACTTCATATGACTGTATAATTAATAATGTTTATATTTTTTAATATCAAATGATAGATAGAAAAATGTGTAATAAATTAAAAATAGCAACAAAAAAGAATTCTCTTATCGTTTTTCTAAAAGAAAAAACCTAGACAAATCGCAAAAAATAAGAAGATAAAAAATGAAACTTGTATCATCATAACAGTAAATTGCAGTGTTTAAGTCGAAATTTATCGCTTAGTAATGGGTCATGGTATGCAACAATCGTGAATGTTTAAGAGTTGTATGGCCGTTGAGAAATGAAAACGAGATTTGAATTATTTTAAGGCTGTTGAGTTTGAGAACGCTGTAAGACGCATTTGTCTCATTTATTTCAGTTCGATCGGATCAAATTTAGCTAAGCTTGATCCTAGAGAGTCAATTAAGCTCTACTCAAGAAGATCCAGCTTTGCTTAAGACTAAAGGACCAAGTCAAGCATTATCCAGATCAAGCATCGTGAAAGACATTGAAATCAAGCTCAAAATTCATCGAATAACCTCGCAATTTGATTCTTATATTATGGCGCTAATTTGTTGAACCACAAGCAATAAAACAGCATGAATATCCTGTTTATGAGGAGTCAGACTCGAGACATTTATGAGGATAGAATTTTCGAGGAACATAAATAATATTTTTCTATGTGAAGAAGAAAAAAAAATTGAAATTGATTATGTGCTGATCATTGGTGGTCTGCACGCTCAGTTGTCATTAATTGTTCATATTTTTAGGACTATACTCTGCATGAATATAAAGTCCGATGCTAATGATCATAAATGGAAAGTTAAAGTTCTTGGTAAGTATTAATGGTAAAGAAGATTTGATGAGATTTAGGAATAATTGAGCAATATTGGCTATTATATCCAATTTATTGTACAGTAACTGAACTGTAAAAAACCATTTCAATGAACTTAAATCCTCAACTTGTTTGTGAATCTCTCAATTCCCGCTAAACAATTAAGCATGACTGTATTTCAAAGAGCAGTAAAGAACCTTTTAATGAACAGCATCAATTTCTATATTCATGAGCTGGTCTATGTAGCTGCATTAACAGTTAATGACGAGAAAATCAAGAAAAATCTTAAAATTTATAGATTAATTGATGCTTCATGTCTAACAACTTCATTTGCGAATTGAGAAGGCTAACCATCGATTCCTCCTCAATTTCAGGATGTGCTTGCAAATTAACAGCAGTCCATCCCTCCTTATTAATTGCTAATTGAAACATAGCCTGAAATTTCTCCACAATAATTAAATCCAAGGATTTATTGAAGGTAATTAATTTAAACTCGTTAATTCAGTTACAGTTACTTGTCTTAATTTCTCTAGACGAAGGTTGAATTACCATAGATGGGAGATAGTAATTATCAGAGATGATAATTACTTCTTTGAATTGAGACAATGAGGTAAGTACAAAAATAAGTTAAGTACTCTAGAAAAACTGGTTCGTAAATGAAGTGATAATGACTCTTACAATTAATATAAATTCATAGAAGATATGAGACAGTTAAGACACTGGATTTTTTATTATTGAAATTCCTTAGCATTATATCGGTAGTTTTTTTTGTAGGGTAATAGAATCTTGAAGGAGGGGAGTGCCAAAAATAATGGGATTTGCTAGATCTCATGATAATATTTTAAAAACTTGTGTTTTTCAAAGGATTTCCTGTTTAGTAGACAGCCACACATTCATGCTGCGATGTCAAAGCAGAGTGCAGTCTAGGAAATCAAGCCTTCTTACGACTATCTAATTTGTCAGCCTCTGTGACCGATTGGTTAAGCAATTGATCTGAAATTTGTAACCCTTTCTTTGTAAGAACGTGGGTTCAAATCCTTTGAGAGCCCAATTAATTAAAAAACGAATACTCAAGTCTCTAATCGATCTGTATCTTAACGATTCTTGCAATTTACTGTCATAATGATAAATTCTCATTCATTATAAAAATCGCTAAATTAAAAAATTTCTATCAACAAACAAAAATAATCATCTTCCTCAATAATAATCAATTCCAAAAAAAATATATTAAAATTTCAAAACTTACCGTGTACATAGAATTTAAAGGATTTGAAGATAAATGCACTTGTGGCGATCCCGCTACATCCGACTCCCGCTCCTCTTGTTTAATACTAGGCTGATGTGGTAATATATTGGCATGGTCGCTTGGTGACTTCCTCTTTCCCTCCGATGTATCAATGTCATTCGAATTTGACTTTGGCAATGGACTAATTTTATAACTACTATGCGAGGATGCCTAAAAAAGCCATACACAAAAACATATTTTTTTTCTTTTCTTTTTTTTTTTTGTTTGTTGCTTATTGTGTTTGTGATATAGATAGTAAATATTGAGACAACGAAAGAAGGTTTCTTGTGTATCGTAATGAATTCAATATTAAAGTGAGAAAAAGATAACATAAATACTGAAAAAGTTTTTGTCAACATGCTAATTACTGTAAATGTCAGGCACTTCATGACGAGAGATAAAAGTAAGTTGCAGAATTTGAAAAAGACTAAGATGATCAAGATTGAAGAGTCGTTTGGATATTTAGTATTGCTTTGTAGAGGCAAAGGACAAGGATTGGTTTCCAAAGTGTTCCTCGATCCTGTTATGTTCCAGGATATCTCGAGAAACCATTAAATATGTCAATTGAATTCTTGAACAAAAAGGTTAGGGTTACAAAATATCCAAAAGACCCCAATCAATGAAAATATCTTTTATATCACAATACTCAAGTACAGTATAAGCAGACATAGAAGTATAAACAACATAATAACTTACATGGGACTCTGAAGGAGTACGATGAAGACGTTTTTGTGGTAACGAATTATTATCACAGTTTGAGTCTTTACGTCTTTTTCTTATGTGATCATCGAAATTTGGCGACAATTCCGCTCGATTCTCAATATCATTTATTGAATCATAGTCTTTATTCATTGAATCTGATTCGTTCTCATTATCATATCGTTCCGAAATTAATGGTCTATTGAATAATCGCGACTCTAGGTGCCTTGATATATTATTTTCGGACGGTGGTGATGCTGATGTTAAATGCTGATCGTATTCGGAATTGTGACCGATGTTTTCGGGATCTACAAGTCCTTTTACCTACAAGAAATATAAAAATATTAAGTTTAAGAATTTTTAAAATAAAACTTTGATTTTCTTACTTGAAAATGTGCAGCCGTTTTGAGGAAATCCGGTAGTAGTTTTTGAGCTATATTTACTTCTCCCTTGTACATATATTCTATTATTGCCGTCAGTATCTCATGATCCACATTAACCATCATTACTGTTACGTTTTGGTGAGTATTTTCGGTGAAGATGCTCTCGAAATATGGACTACATGCAGACAGAATCGCTTGATGTGCCTGGAAGGAGAAGAAGAAGTTGATGTTAAAGACTGTTCGCTAGCTACGCATTTAATAGCGTCTAACTTAGTAGTGCCACAACTTACTTTAAGTTTCTGTCCAGGACCAACTGTTATTGTGACATCACACATAAGTTCCCGCTTAAAATATTTGATGACTCCATTACTAAGATTCTCGTGATGTTTGTTCCATCTCAGGACATATTGCTGATCCCCCATATTTACAGAGCTGCATTTCCGGGTTAAAAAAAAATAGAAAGAAAAGAAAAAAAAACATTGGAAAGGTTAGAAAAGTTTGGTAAAGGCAATGAAAATCAAGACAATTGAACTTGCCATTGGAATGATGGTTATTAGTGACCATATGGTTTCATATAGTGACTTATAATTACAATCATGACCAAAAAGTTCTCTTGAATTGATTAAAACTTCGTGCAAAATATTAAAATATTAGTTAAGTTATAAAATTACAAGAGATGAGCAAGAAGTACGTAAACTCTAAGTAATGTAATCTGACACTCATGAATAAAAATCCATAAGTATCATAAAGAATAACGTAACTTTTTGCATCATCTCAGGTCATGCAAACTAATAATCGAAATCTCAGTGAAAGATCTCAACAATAATAAAATGATAATTCATAGAAAATAATCGTAACAATTTAAAAATTTAAAAGAAAAATCACATCAATTAAACGCATTTGCTCAACAATCTACAAATAAACCATAAAAATAAATGAAGATAATCAAAGAAGAGAAATTATAATCCTGTAAAACAAATGATCATTGCAATGATCATATCTGACCATACTAGGTATGAACAGTTGTAACGGTTACTTGCTTAGTAAGAGGAGATTAATGTCCACCATTGATACATTGTCTCTGGCTTAGATGCAATGTTGCTGGATGCTTTTGTGCAGAATTACGGGAATTTTTTTTAGTTTTAAGAAGTTTTAAGACTTGAATATTTTGCATAATTCCATCCGCGAGAAGACATTAGACCGTTATTGATGATTTTGTAAGAGCTTTAAGTAGCTATGAATCCAGTTGCATGATTTCAATTCCAGTTGGAGTGAAATTCCATTGGAATTCCCGAAATTCAAGTTTAAACGTCAGAAGGAGATGGATATTAGAGGATATTCGATACATCCTTGATGCACACATAGATCCTCCTATCAATTCCTGATACTAATCACACGATCTGACCTCGATTTTAAAAATTTTAATAATTTTTTTTTGCATACCCCGACCTTGAAAGCTTCTTCCATTTGCAGATGTTTGGAAAGAATTTATAGAAACTAACAAGAAATTCCTTTTGCGAAGCTTCATAATAAAAATAAAAATCTGTTTTGCGAATAAATTTACATTAATTTAGTACATTTCAATCACTTTTGCGCTAGAAACAAAAGCAGTGACTTTTTTTTGTGTGCAAATAAAGTTATGCACAATAGGTATTGATACCGTGTTCATTTGATATTTATGCTTGTCACCGACTAAATTTATTGGTTTTTTAGTCAAAAATGTAGGATAGATGTAAGTTTTGTTTGTAGATCTTAATCAGGAAGTTGTATTTGTATGGATTAAATCAGGTATAGATCGTAAATATTCGAGTTTCTTGGTTGAGATAGTTTGGCATTCAAATGGAAGGCACGTGGTGGATGTTTTTTGTAATGTTTGAGAATCTAGTGGGCAAGAAAATCTCATTTAAGTCAATCCTGATCAGCATTAAATGAATCAATGATTTTCCTTAAAAGTAATCAACTTTATGTTGACACAATTTCAAATTTAAAAAGTATTAATCATGTTCTGTTATCATTATTAAGTTATATTGCTACCTATCATCCATTCTAATCAGATAATTTCACTTAAATCTGCCCAATAAAAATTATGGAACCAAGTTTGAAATTTCTAATCATAAGTGTGCAATATTTCTGTGATAATATGTCAAGTGGTGATAAAAGACTTGACTCTGTTTGACGAGTTCATCTGTGTCAATCATATGTAGTATATGGAGACGATGCAGATCACATGTTATGGACAGAGTCATTTTATTTTCTAAGTGGAGGCAACTACGGTTTATTGTTGTTGGTACGAATGAATTCATCAATACCGGCAGATCATTTACATACGCAGATAATATGTTATTTCAATAGCAAATCCAAGAGCGATGCATTTTTTTACAGAGAACTTCAGAAGAATTTAGAATAAAGAATTTATTTCTTACAATAAAATCTTATGTTTATTAAAAATGCCGTAAAAATAAATTTGAGAAGACATTTTACGATTTGAGATTCCTTTTTGGGTGACTGTGCGAATTTGTTGGGTTGATAATTTGTTGTCTTTTGATTGTTTCCTAATAAATAGATATTCAAGAAGTTCTGAATTTAGTGAATTTGATAGACTTGAAGTTGCATTGATAAATACTAGAAAATACTAGTTGATACTATTTAAAATGCATAAAGTATTTACATTCAAAGTTTATATCCATATTGAGATTTTTTCTTGATTTTTTCAAGTAGATATAAAATATTTAATGAGAAGTTGGTGGATGAATATTTATAATAGGAATGATTTTTAAAGTATGAAGTCAAGTAGTTTCAATGAAAATCTTCCAAATAATCAAAAAGCTAGTTTATTGAGCAGTTTAGTATACTTTTAAACAAATCTAAAGCCAATTCGTTGACTAGATTCAAACCTAGTTCATAAGTCCACAGACATCATTTGCAGGCAAAACTATAGCTTAACATATAATTCTGCTTAAAAGCACCAAATTATGAAATAAATGAATTAAAATCAGCACCTTCTATGACTCAAAATTTACTACACAAAGTCTCAAAACTTAATCAAACAAAATAATAAATTTTGAATTTTTGATAACCCAATATAATTTTCTACACAAAAAATTTATTACTTTTGCCTCATCTTTATTTAATCTTTGGTTTGAGTCATTGTACAAATTTCAATCGCAATCATTATAAATAATAACATGTTTATTCCCGCATTCAATGTAATACACTTCTTTAACAACACGATTTAAAAATAAACAATATTTTGTAAAATATCAAAAACCTTAAATTCTATCAATTTATGTTAACCTTAAAGACCGTTGATTACATCACGCGTCTATGTGATGAATTGAATGGCACAGTCTTTAAAGTTCGCATAAAATCATAAAGTTATTGCGAATAAAACAGAGGTTGAGGAGGTCAATGGAAGTAAGAAGAATTTCGAATGAACAGTTTTGAAATGGATGTGATGTCTTTTTGGAGGGAATTGAATAATACTCAGTGTTACTTAAAGATTAAGGACTAGTAAAGGCCCCTGAATGGTTCATTGATCTTTACATGGAAGTTACGAGTTCAAATCCTACTTTAGTGATACATCATGTTTATTAGGGATTCAAGCCGCTTCATTAAATCCTTAACTCATTCTCAAACCTTCAAAATCACATCCAAAAATTCTTCAACTAGCCAAATCAACTTCCATTAAGCAAATTGTACACCAAAAACCAAACATGACTTTTCATCAAATCAACAGGTGTTCTCCAACGGACGTACTTAACGTCTACAGCACGCAATGGGAAGAAATCTGCCAATTAATTTTACATCAAGTTATCGCCATTGCTTGATCATTCTAAAGCACACGGAATCATATTGTGTGAAACTTTCGCTCAAAATGTACAATTTTCCATAAAGTACATTAAATTACGGCCACACATATGCGCTCAATTATATCAAAATAACAGTAATCACCGGGAGTAAAGTATTATATAATCACAAAACGTGAATATAAACGTGGCTTATTCATTGTCAACAGAGAGGAGAAAATAAAGGTGAGCGAGGAAAAAGATGAAATGTTTATTGTGTTGGCTTTACAGCACAGAACTTATCTTTGACAATGTGTGATAATATGAAGCTTTTCTAAGGCTTAAGGCTTACTTATTGTGTATATAAACGTTAGATTATGTACATTTTAGATTAGGTATGTAGATTATCAAAATATAAGCTGAGGTGTATGGGTTATGGATATGAAGTTTAGTGGGTTTTAAAAAATTTGTATATTATAAGAACATGAAGATGGAGGCTTGTTTTTATTGATAATATGGATGTGTTCAGCACACGTTTGAGATTTAGATTGAAAGAATATTTTATTCGGTGTCGTTTAAATTGTATTATTAAGTATCAAAGCATAGTTTTCAACTTCTTAGTCCAAATGTGATCCAGAACTCTGGTAGGACATTAAGTGGCTCAAGATAGGTTAACTAGTGAGCAAACGCATTCAAATTTTGACTTGCAGTGCAGAGTAGAATTAGAAATGTAACCTTTTTAAGTCTTGAACCCACAATTGCAGTGTCGATGTCGCATTACGCACCGGAGGGCTTATTCGCTACATAATAAAACTATTTCAGCTCATATTGAGATAACCGGAGTAATAAAGATCAGTATTGAAAATTTAGCAGTGTCAAAGTCTTCTGGTCTTAAAACTGCAACATAGTAATTATTTACAGCCATCATTTACGTTATCATCAATCTATTTCTAGCTTGAACCCGGAAAATCACAAAAAATTTCACGCCTTATCACAATTAAATTGCCACCATCCTACCTCAAAATTAAATTGCGTTTCTGAATCGCAAAAAAAATTGTTCTTCTTCTGATTTACAAACATTTGAAATTATTATGAGGGACTGTAAATTCTCGTATTTATTCTAATATTCGCTTGTTATCATGGCACATTTATATGAAGTTAAATTTGAAAGCTGAATGAGAAAGATGATAAGCTTTCATCGTAAAAAATATAATTTTTTTTTTAGAATACATTGCAATTCATATTTACTTTTATTTTTATTTTTAGTGCGCGACTAGAGAGTTGTGATAATGCAAACAGACTTTTTGGCCTTTGTCATATTCTGTAATAAAATATAAAAAATTTTTTATGTACAGAAAAATTCAAAGCGCGACTTTTTTTGCAATCTTATCTCCGTCTTTACCATGTAATAAGTGAAGATAAAGCTTTTTGGGAGGCTAAAAATACACATCACTTCCAAATATTACATGATCAACTGCTGTGCAATTTAGTTTTTATCAGAGATGCGATAATTGAGTTATGAAACTGAAAATGTTCTTTCAATTGACCCATTTTTTGATTCTATTCTATTCTCACGCCATTCATTGGATAAATATTTGAGTATAGCTGGACAATGCTCAAGAGGTTAGGTTATCAGGGGATTTATTT